GATTACTTTTCCCTCTTAAAGAAGCTCATTCGCTCGCCCACTCTTCTGTACATGCTCGGAGTTTCATTATCAATGCAAAACAAGCTCCTTTGTTTCTCCCACCTTGTCCTCCTTCTTTCGCGAACAGGCTGTCCCAATAGTTGCCAAGTGCGTCAGATTCTCCACCTGCCCACAGACCGGTGCGTCACTGCGGCAACTATTGTGCTCAGATGCAGCTCTTGGCTCTCTCGGTCGGAAAGAGCTCAACCGACTGACGTCTTCTCGTGCGCTCATTGGTAGGCTTCCCATCGGCTTTAGCCCTCCCGCTCAAAGTGCCTTCTTTCAACGGACATACCAACACCAACGTAACGAATGGCCTCGTTAACGGCTCTTCTGCCAGTCCAGAGATGCGGACACTTTGAGAGAGGCGATGACATACGGAGCCGTCGAAGTCTCTCAACATTGGGGATGAACGCATTCTGTTTTGCTTTGAGTCTATCCCGTGATCTTATCTCTGAATTCATTTTTGTGCCAATCTGTATATTTTCTTTTTATGAGATGTGCTCACTTTATTTCGTTTAAAGTGATCAGATGGTAGATTAATTTTCACACAATCATATAGGCGTTTACATCAAGTTCCGCATGGCCTTGCTTTCACAAAAGTTACTCTTGCCTAAACCGGTTTCATCAACTTCCCCAGCGGGACTCGAATCATGACAGCGCAGCGTATAATCTCGTAGTCTGGAAAACCTACTTATAAAACGAAAATGAATAATGTGTTCGATTGCTATGGCAAATACAATTTTGCTTCATCAACAATCCCACCACAAAATGTGATATGGGAAAATGCCTGGAATTCCTTGAAATTCTATTCTGCCCTGTGAGCAAAGGGTACTCGTGGCAATGTGACGCTGTGGGTAACGGGGGGAGAGTATACGCTGCGCTGTTATGGTTCGAGCCCCGCTGGGGGGATGATGATACCTCGAAAAGGTCGAAACTAGATTGCACTTCTCCCTGGATGAGAATGACTTTTTGGAAGCAAGGATATGTGAAATTCAACGGACACGTAAGGCCTACTCATATGATTTTGGGAAAATCCAACTGTCAGTCTCTTTATCACATTACACGGGTTAGGGTGAACACATTTCACATACAATTACTCTATGACGTCCTCCTGTTTTCATGTTCCTCATCATATTTGTTCACTGGCGATATTGCCTAATTGGTTTATCTTTTCTATTCATTACCGCGAGCTTCATGAAAAGTCAAGTCTACTCATACATATAGGACTG